GAGGTGGCAGGGCGCCCGGTGTGGCTCCGCAGGGAGGAGGGGGGCTATGGGTTCACAGAATGGTGGGCATGTTGCCTCAGGGCTGCAGGGCCCCCCCCATGACTCCCTGCTCTCTGCAGGCCGATGTGTTCGCGTACGGCATCATCCTATGCGAGACCATTGCTCGTGTCCCCGCTGACCCCGACTACCTGCCCCGCACCGAGGTGACTCCCTGGGACGGGGATGGGGAGGGAGGGTGGCAGGCAGCAGCATCGGGGCTGGGACCGCTTCACCAAATGAGGGGGACCATCCTCCCATGCTGGGCAGAGCCCTGTGTGCAGGAGCTGCCCTGCACCTCGGGGTAGGGGTGCTGTGTCCCAAATGCTGTCCGGCAAGGGATGCTCTCTGCCGATAACCTGTCCTCGGAGTCCATAGTCGGCCTGGGTGGGAGAAGGGGACAGTTGGATTCAGGCAGAGAGCAGGAGGGATCTGTGTCCCGGCATCCCTCAGCCTTGCCCCAACTTGGGGTGACCCCAGGGTCTCCCCTTGCTGTGCCTCAGCCGGGGTGCTGCCACATCCACAGCCCTGGGTGGCCCGCAGTCAGTGCAGGGAGGGGAGGCAAGGCCATCCCAGGTCCCCTGGGCCGTGTGGTGCCCTAGGGGACCCAGCCTCATTCTTCCTTGTTTCCCTGGCGCAGGATTTTGGTCTGGACATCGCCACTTTCCGCACCATGGTGGGGATTGACTGCCCAGCGGCCTTCCTCCAGCTTGCTTTCCACTGCTGCAGTGTGAGCCTCCCATCTCTGCTGCCCTTCCCCGCCAGGGCAGCGGGGCAGGACAGGCAGCCTTGCCTGCACAAGGGGGGACAGGCAGGGAGCTGCCTTTGCTGGCCAGGCCTCCCTGGGGTGCTTGGGGGGCTGCAGACCTGATGGGTAACCCCTCCTGCCCGCAGATGGAGCCCACCTCCCGCCCCTCGTTCCTGGAGATCACGCAGTGCCTGGAGGGGGTCCTGCAGCACCAGCCGGGTGCCGAGGGCACCGGGGTCTTCGGTGGTGGGGAGAGCCTGCCCGTGCCTGGGATGGCGGCCACACTCAACGGTACGTGGGCACCCCGGGGACAGGCCATAGAGGGGTGCAAGGAGGGGGGATGTGGGGTGTCCCATCCTACCCCGGCAGCTGTAGGGGAAGGAGACAGGGGTTGCATGAGGTCTGCAGGATGGAGCCAGTCGCTGTTCCCCCCCCTCGGGGTGCGCTCCTGGGTTGTTGGATGCCCGGCACCCCGTGGCACCCCACACCGGCAGCTGCTGGCAGCTGGTGACCTGTTTCTGTGCCTGTGCCCAGGGGTAGCTGGGAGGGCGGCTGGCCGCACCGAGCAGTCGCCCCTGCGTGAGCTGGGGACACAGCACCTGCAGCCGGACCAGCGCCTGTTCCGCAGCCAGTCCGACATGTTCCCCCCCAAATCGCCTGTCCTGTTGCGGCCGGCGGAGCCTTACGGCGGGGCCAGGACCAAGGAGACGCCCCACCGCGTCAACCCCTTCTCCCAGCGCGAGGACCTGAAGGGGGGGAAGATCAAGCTCTTCGACACGCCGAGCAAGTCGGTCATCTCGCTCACCTTTGATCTGCCGCCCCCCGCCCCGCTCCAGCTCAGCACCCCCGTGACGCCCGAGCCCGCCG